CCTTGGGATCTGGTCACTGTCAATCCACCATTCGTGAGTAGCGTTTGGACGCACTTGCACTTCTTCCCAATCACCGCACCACCGCGCAAGCTTCTCCGCTGGTTTGGAAATTGAAGTTTGCACATTTCGATGTCCCTCCCCCTCTATCTGCTTGCTCTTTTTGATTTTGCGGCACGAACAGATTTTTGGCCCTCCCATCCACGACGTGTCGGGCGGAGCAGAGAAGCTCAACACTTCGCTGTCCATCTTCTGGGGACTACTTCACGGCTCCAAGTCCGAGTCTGACCTTCTAGCACCTGGCGGGTCTCTAGTAGACGTTCGAGACGTGGCCGAAACGCACGTGCAAGCCCTAAAGCACGGCCAAGCAGGAGGTCAACGTTACGCGCCCACTTCTGGACCATTCACGTTTCAGGATATCGCCGATGCTGTGCATGGCGCTGCGCAGGGTTTGGTGCCTGAAGAATGGAAGAAAGCAACACCGAAGGGTAAAGCTGGAAAGGGCAAAGAGGTGGTGCAGAACTCTTTGGACGGATCAAAGACTGCTGAGCAGCTGGGCATCAAGTACAAGTCCATCCCCACCATGTGAGTTGATCGCTATCACCTTGATCGCTCTGCTACCAAGCTACTGGTAGCTACTCTTGGGAAGCTCATACGCGCCCTCTGCTTGCCCACAACAGCGTCCTTGATACAGTCGCCGCGCTCAAAGATTACGAGGAGCGCAAGTGGAAGCCATTTCCATCTGACAAGGTGCTTGCCCTGTAGAACCTCATCCGAGATGGCGCCATGTTTGCAGTTTGCATTCGATACCTGAGACTAGGATCATATGCAACAGCCTTTGTGATGTGTTGCTGCATCAAGATGCACGTGCAAACCCGAAAATCACCATTAGCTGTTGGGATTTTGCATACATGTCAAGAGGCTGCGTGCGTAAACGGGTATGAAGATTTTCCAATGCGTTCCAAAAAATTTTGCACGAAGAGGCAGCGAATCCGGGGCAGGTGTACTGAAGGGGAATGCAGATCGGGTCAAAGAGCATGCATGCAGCATCATCTGAGCACTCTAGCGAGCGCATCCCTAAATGCAGGTCTGAAACGATCCAAGTGAGGTGTGGGAGGGGCAGGTTTGATAGGATCCGCAAAGATAGCCTCGGTCCTAGTCTTTCCAGCCGCTCCAAAGACCTGAACGGGTTGTGCTTCATCCACATCCCCTGCTGCCCATCTGCAAGCTTCGACAAACTCGGCCTGCTTCTTGCGACGCGCAGCAGCTTCTAGCTCGGTAATGTCCCCTCGAGCAGATGCGTCTAGGACCGATGGACCGGAAAGAGGCGCGGGAGGTGGCAACTTAGATCCTTCGGACTCATGCACCATCGACGCGGGTCGCGACGGAGGTGCCCAAGCAGCAATGATATCGTCGCAGCCGCTGCCTGCCAGTCTTGCTAAATGGTGCAGCCAGACAAAGATGTCCTCTGTGAGCGAGCTGCCGTTGCTTCCTTCTGGCAATGTCACTGTTGAGTGCAAGAACGCGTACCAGCCCGGCACAGCGTCGTCGAGCAGAGTGGCAATCGTTGAGATGCTCCTCCAAGGATCCTGCACTCTCGATCTTAAGCCGGAAACAATGTCCAGTAGACGCGCGAGGAACTCTTTCGTATCCGCAACAGCGTCCGCCATCTTGGCACTTGACTTGTGTAGTCGCCTGAGAGCGGTGCCGAACGGCTCAAACAGGGCCGAAAAGATGTCTCTGATCTCTGGCTTTTCCAGCGCAATTCGAATCTCCTCTGCATCTCGGCGCAGCGAAAGCAGTCTCAAGGCGCGCTGCATGTCCGCAATGAGACGAACATCGACGCTCGCCTTGAGCTCCCGTTGTATATCTTTGGCGTTCGGCAATGTGGCGTGAAAGTCCTGCCAGGCACGAGTTGCTCGCACGATGCGCTTGACACCTTCCTCGGTGAGGCGCGGAGCGTCTGAACCACGCGCAATGGCTGCCACGAGTGGAATGCGAGCTGACTCCGCACTTGAACGGATCAAACGCTTCTTGGCGTCAGTGTAGGATACGAACGCTTCGATTTTGCGATATACTGGCGATCCGAACCGGCGTCGAAGGTCATCTAGCTCCAGTTGCATGCCCCCTTTGCCCCCGCCGTCTTCAAGTAACACAGCGAGTAGCCGGTCCAAAAAGTCTTGTCCTTGCAGAGCTGCACGCACCCTTTGCAGCATGACTCCGGTAGGATCCCGCATGGCAAAAGACAAGCCGCGCCACGGAATGGCGTTGAAAAGGTCCTGAGCTCTGATCAGGTTCTTGCTAGACTCGCTGCCGCTGACAAAGATGCCATAGAGGACGTGAGCCAGCTTAAGATTGGCCCAAGATGCTAGGCGCTGGTATGGAAGTGGCAGCTCAGAGAAAGTCGGACTGTTTCGAAGTGCCCCAAAAGCATCCAAAAATCCTTGCTGAGTCGTGCAGCTGCGCCAAAGAGCGTCCTGCTCATCCTGCAACTCGATGACCTCTTCTGCCGAGCCGGCCGCCACTGCCTCACGTTCTCCACGACTTTCCTCGTCCAGACGATGGCGCATCTCTAGGTCTGCTCTAGTTCCAGTCCGAAGCTCCTTATCACTGAAGCTGCCGGTGACCAAGAACTGGCGAGTCTCCGAGCAGTGACCAGCACCACGCACAGCCAAAGCATCACGAAGCCAACTCCGCAAATGTTGTCGTCTTGCCTCGTGATGGGCGGACGGAGCAAGGTACTCGCCCTCGGCAGCCGCTTTGCGGGCGGACTTGTCGCGAGGAACGCCGCCAGCCTCTTTGTATCGCAAGCCTGATGGAGAAGGACCACGAGATGAAGATCGCTTGGAGAACAAGCGTGATCTACCTCGTCCGTCACCACCCTTGGACGAGGTGGTACCCATCATCGCCTTGCTCGAGTTGTCGAGCTGGACGAAGCCTTCCGCAGCAGATGGCGAGAGCGGCAGTGCAGGGTCTTTGATGGGCGGTGAAGCGACATTCACCTGACTTCGACCTCGAGGCAAGCCCCGCTCACTACCAGCAAGAGACACTTGACTCGTATTTCGTCCTGTTGTGCCAGACGCTTGCGGAGTGTGGCCGTGAGCCGATTGAGTGTCCTGAGCTGGATGAATAGATCCAGGCCTTGCGGACTCCGTACTTCTCGTGCGCGAGAAACTTGGACGAGGTGGAACGCCGCCACCATATCTGTGCATGCGCGGGGAAAGAGGCGAAGCTGGTGCAGCGCCATTGGCTGCACCCGGGTTCTTATTAGTCTGCACCGACAGAACGCTCTGAGAGGCCTCATTCGCCTGGCTCGGGCGGAACCCCGAGGTGACGAGACTGCGAAGCGAGCTCATCGAATCACGACGGCCGTTCTGAGATCCAGCAAGAGCTGCGTTGCCAGTCAGAGGACCCAAAGAGCCAGAGTATTCACCTCCATCCGCTCCTGCTATTGGCCTGGACGGCAGGGGTCGCACCCGCGCTTTCGGTCCTAGTTCCGCTGCTAGGCCACGCGCATATTCGAAGAAGTCGTCCTCGCTGCGGATGACGTAGGAGACCGGAAAGCCAAAGCGACGAATGGCAATGACGAACTCGCACTCCGTAGCAGAGTGTGCACGCAAGCTCACAATATCCACCTCATAACCGCCTTGCTTGAGCTTTGGCATAGACGCTCGGTGAGCGTAGTAGGCCGAGAGCGGCATCAAGCTGTTGTGTTCAGTCGGCAACGGCACCTGGGTCATCTTGAGACCCTCCCGCGCCAAGCTCGCGCCCAGAAGCGAGGTGACGTAGGCAGCAATGCCGCGCGTCAGTACGCCTTGAACTTCATCTAACGTAGATCTTGCATCGAACTCCGTCCCCATGCCCTCTCCATGTCTATCAACGGCATGACTCAGCGACATGGACTGCCTTGCACGCAGTAGTGGGACGACGGCGCTGGACATGAAGCCCTCCGCCACCTCGCTCGAAGCCGCCGTGCCCCTGGGAGCGACCGGGTCGACCAGCAGTGGGCATGTCGAGAGGACTCGAGCAAGCAAGAAGTGCAGAATAGGGAGGCGAGGTCGCGGAAGGTTTATGTCGTTAGGGCTGCGCTTGAAGATAGCGAGATCATCTTTGCCCAATGCTGCGGGCTCCGATGGCGCTGCGATGCTAGTCAAAAGCCAAGAGCGAGCCAGTTCAAACTTCATCTGGCGTTCCACCAGAGTGCGCATGAAGCATCCGAGGTGTGGAGCGCCCAATTCGGTGTGTCTGAGCCACGTGTGCTTTGGCGCTTCTACGTTCCTGAAGATCGGAGGAGCAGTGACTTGCGATTGCGCCGACCCATCTACGCCAGGGTGCTTGCTGGTGCTCGCATCGCGCGAATGTGTATCCTGTGCTTCGAAGTACGATGTCTTCTGCACAGCGTGTCCCCGCGGAGTCGGAGCATCCTCGTCCTCTGCGCCAGCCCAATGGCCCGGAGGCTTCAGAGGAAGTTTCGTAGCGACACGCTCACCACTGATCTCTGGACCTCCGTTCGTGTTTTCTGATTGCACGCTAGCTCGACTCGTTTGTCGTGAATGTGCATCCGCAAAGACAGTTGCGTCCCGCTGATGTCGCTGTGTCTTTGCACCTGGCGTCAATGGCGCGTCACCGAGAGGCGCGTCGATCACAGGGGACGCATTGGAAGACGAATCCGTGCCATCTTCATCTGTGAGGAAGGCACCTGGTACGCTGACCTTTCGGACGTGGCCTTGTCTGGCAGCGGCGATGACTCCCTGCGGCAATCGGAGCTGGAAGCCAGATCTGGTCAAAGGCGAGGTCATATCGGCAGGTGCAGCCGGGCCTTGGTCTGGTAGGCTGCCCGACTGCGTACCTTCGGCTTGAGGTCCGGCAGCGCTTGTTCCAGAAGCAAGGGGATGAGCCGACTGATCCTCAAATTCTTCTCTTCTCCTCTGCTCTATCCTGCTCTCAAGCCATTTATCGTCGATGCTGAGTATGCCAGCGGCGCTAACAGTGCCATCCCCTTCGCCTTCTTCATCACTATCGCCGGTGCCTCTGATGCTTTCGTCATCTACCAAGCTTGGCTGAATGCTATGAATCCTTGGATGCCCTACACCCACCCGCTGATAGCTGTCAGAGTCGCCTTCGTCGCCGGCCGAGATCAGTTGTGGCTGTCGTTCGATGCCGATATCTTTAAAGTTGAAGGGCGTCGTTGGTCGTGCGCTGAGATCGACTTGCAGTGGTGCTACGACAGCATTTGCGACTGCATCGAGTGCTTGCCGTTCTGAAGCCTCTGATGGACTTTCCAGACCATCGAGATGAGAAGGTTGACGACTAGGCGGAGGTCGCGTCAGGGCGTCCGCCTTGTCCAGGTATTCCGCGCGCTGCTCGCCCGGTGCTGCACTGCTGTCTTCAGATTGGAGGGAAGTGTCCGCTGAGCTGAGATCAGGCGTCGCTGTCATGTCATCCTTGTTGCTCTTTGCA